TTAGGTCTGAGGGCTCTGATGCCATCATGAGAACAGACCTCTTATAACCCACTCACTCCACAAGCCTCTCTGTGTGAGGCCTCCACTCTAAAGACTTGGTTTCTACTAGAAGTTCAGTGGGAGCATCACAGGTATGAAGACCACGGAAAGGGCTCGTTTGGGGTACAGCGGAGGGGAAAAAGTAGGATTGAGCTTGCAGAATCTGCTAGGCTATGTAGTCCAAGACTTTCTGTAGATATAAAGCATGCCTTCTCAACACACATCACACATTGTACATTACAACCATTATTGACTGTTGATCCAGGAGTGTTTCCTGTAATCCACAGACAAGGCCTCCATCATTGAAGATGCTTGAGGATTCATTCTCTTTTGTTTCCATCATGCTATGACACGGATTGTTCCTCCTTAAAACCCACATGCCGAAGTCTGCTCCCACCTTGGGACTGCACGGAAGATGGGGTGTTTAGGAGAGAGGTGATTCAGAGTAAATGAGGTTAAAGGGTGGAGCCCTGATCTGCCTGGAGTCCTTGTAAAGGGTGACTCGTAGGTTCCCATTTTTTTCTGTCATGTGAGCACACAGTGAGAAGGTGTGCACGCCAGGAACAGCCCCCAGTACTGAACTTGAAGGACTTTACAGTCTCCATATTATGGTCCGGATCTTTGTCTCCTCCTCAAATTCTTAGTTGGAACCTGATCCCAATATAATAGTATTGTCAGGTGGAGCCTTTAGGTGGGGTCAGATCATTAGAGGAATTAGCATCCTTATAAAAGAGCCCAAGGAGTTTGGTTTTTCCCCCTCTGTCATCTGAGAAATTGTCCAGAAATTTCTGTCTATAGGCATTGGGTTCTCCCAGATGCATGAAAGTTCCTGGAGCTCTGCATTTGTCTGTTTTAGGTTCATATGGCAAAGCACCTTATACTGGGTTATTTATGAGCAATAGAACACGCTCACAGTTCCAGAGCTGGGAGGGCCAAAACAAATTCTCGACAAAGTCAGTGTCTGTGAGGGTACCCTCCTCCAGATGGAACTTTCAGGATGTGCCCTCAAAGGACAGAGGAGGCAGACAGGCCTCCTTGGTATCTTTTATAAGGACACTAATTCCATTAATTATTTAAGTACACCTAAAGGCCCTGATTACTGTCCTGTTACACATGGTTCAGGAGATCATAACATGGAAAGTGAGAAGTCCAAGGTCAAATTCTTGCTTCTGGTGAGGGCTCCTCCTGGCTTGCAGATGGCCACCTTCTTACTGTATGCTAACACGGCGGACAGAGATGGGAGCTACATTACCACTGAACAGGAAGGAAAGCACGATAGAGTTGATTTGTACCATTGAGATTCTGTGGTATGTACTTCACAATTCACATAGCTTGTTTTAAGTCCATTTGGCAGATAAGATGGTTTTCAACCATTACAAAATAATTTTGTGTTTTATGGGAAATGAGAGGGACCAAGCACCCCTTCCCGGGTCCCTGTGACACTACTCCTATGTGTGTGTGTGTGTGTGTGTGTGTGTGTGTATGTGTGTGTGTACAGAAAAAGGAGTGTGATGGAGATCATAAAGAACCTTCCTGGATATAAAGTCACCAAGTCTCTTGTCAGTCATATTGATAATAATCACTGTGATATTGATAGCTACCCAGTAAGTACAGGGACATATTTGTGAGGCAGGCGTTTTTGTGCTGCCCCATTCACTCTCCTAATGTCCTCTTTAGTAAGTGAGGTGGATTTGTGTATTTCCATTTTTCCAGAGGAAAAAACTACAGGCTGAAAGAGCCTCTAGTTGATAAGTACTAGAGCCAGGTGCTGACATTGTGGTAGTTCTTTGGTTCTCTTTAGCCATAAAACCTTGAAAAGCCTATACTTAATTTTTAAGTCATTACCTTGAGTGAGACCATTTATTAATTTAAAACATGTCCTTGGAGTCTAGAAGAAAGTCTAGAAGAAGCGTCATTAGAAACCAAAATGAATCAGCATCTGCTCGGTCATTTTTTCATCTAATAAAGCAATCGCCAGGAATAACCAGAAAAGGTCAAAATTATTGGAAAACAAATTAAAGCTTTTTTATTTCTTTTTCAACATGGAACTGCAGTGTAGTTCAGTTTCACTTTCACGCTGTCTGGGAAGATAAGTTTAATAGACTTAACATAAATTTTTATCAGTTCTTGCTTTTGTTGAAAAAAAAACCCAATGAAGTTTCCCTCCAAGGTTATTTTCCCCATTAATCCACTGGGCCTCACGAAAGAGTCACTGAGGCCAGGCATGGACCCAGGCGGAACTAGACTCAGTTATTTTCTGGGCCTGTGTTCTGAAGAGGCATGTCCTGCTTAGCCTAGTGGTCATATCACACTTCAAGGTGAGCTGTGCTGAGCCAAACAGATCGGCTCCTTGGCTGCTTGGTTATGATCCCTTCTGCTTGAACAGTCCCTTTCCACATCCAGGCAGCTCTCAGTGTCCTCACTGGGCCTTGGCCTCTTTGCTGGCTGTCTGACTGTGCCTGGCTCTGAGGCCAGAGACTGAGGGAAGAGACACTGCTCACTGGAGAACTCTGCCACTTATAACACAGCTCACTGGAGAACTCCGCCACTTATAACACAGCTCTTTTCTGGAGACAGCAAGCTTACAAGCTAGAGCCCTGGGTGTGTCCACCTGCAAAGCACGGTGGGTGCGTGGGCTCAGTTACATCAAGGAGAGTACAGTTCCTGCACCAATACCACACTTCAAGCACCCAACTCCTGGCTCCTTCAGGCCACCAGAGCATCCTGCTGGTCTGCCTACACAGCCACCCTGGAATGAAGTTCCTATTCCCTCACTTAACCATTAGGGCCCAGGGCTGTCTCTGACCTCATGTATCAAGTACTATTATTCACTTAAAGATTTTCTTTGGTTCATAGTGTCTTTGGAGGACGCTAAGTTGCTAAGGGAGAAAATCAATCAGTGGTCCAACCCCAGCTTTAAAGCCTAATAACCACAAAAATGACCAGCACTGAAAACTATATTGGTGCAGTAGTGGCACTTTTATCAACAGCTACCTAACTGAATTTAAAGCCTGCTCAATGGAAGGGAACTCATGAGCGGTACTGTAAGCACAGCCAAATACACATGGCTGGAGAGGGCATGGGTCTTAGAGAAAGCCCTAAGTCTGTCACATCCCTAGACCAATGAAATTTCTTACTATATACTAAATATGGATCCTTATATTTACAGACAAGTATCCCAGTCACCCTCAGCAAAGAAGCTTCTTTTCCAGCAGATGGGGACTATTACAGAGTTCCACGACTGGCCACACACAGAGAATAAGATGCCCAACCCTGAGTGACATATCTATGGAACCTCTACACCTAAGGTTTGTGGAACATAATGGAACAGGGGGTAGAGAGAACACTGGTGCATCCCTCAGCTGCCATCAGCAACACTTCTTTAATGCAACAGAGGGTGGTGAACACAAATGGCAACAACTGGTCAAAGTGGAGAGAATAAGAATCTGGACGGAACCACTCGGGGCTCAGGGACCACTGTGGAAGAGGGGGCGGAAAGATTGTAAGAGCCAGGGAGGAGGTGCAGGAACATAAGGAATCGGAGTCTTACAGGCTCCTGGGACCCTGCTCATATGAATCTACAGCAGTGGTGGCAGCATGCGCAAGACCATGCAAACTCAACCAGACAGACACCAGATAGAACTGGGGAAGTGGGCAGAAGGTCACGTCTTCTGCGAGGAACTATTGGCAGCAATCACTGCCGCGTGAAGGAGTACTGATCTTCTTTACAGGCGTGACACTATACAAGTAAAACAGGTTCCAGTGAAAGAACTCACACCCGGGGATATCTGGGTACACAAACTTGACTCGATAGGCCTTAACATATAAGACAAAATGCATGAAGTCTTGTGGAAAGGCTATGAGGGGTTGCAGGCAGGGAAAGGGGGGCTAAATATGATTAAGATATTTTATGTGAAATCCACAAAAATTCAATAAAAATATAAAAAAATTTAAAAAGAAAGAAAGCAGGCCAAGCATAGGCCAGAGGAAGAAGCCAGTAAATGTGGCTCCTCCATGGACTGAGCTTCAGCTCCTGCCTCCAGGTTCCTGCCCTGAGTTCCTGTCTTGACTTCCCTTGATGGTGGACTGTGTTATGAACCAAATAAACCCTTCCTCCCACAAAGAGAACATTTTCTTTGGTAGCACTTTGCAATGTGGAAACTAAGCACATCAACCTTTATCTAAGCTGACTAGGGGAAAGGAAGGCACTGCTTGCTCAGTTCACTGTTGTCCTGTGCCAGAGATTAAGTGTGCCCCACGAATGCGTCGCTACTGAGGTGGATTCTCATCCAGTCCCCTTTAGTATCTTTTTGTGTATATGCATATGTATATACATGTATGTAGGGGTACACGTGTGTGTACATGCCTGAGGAGGTCAGATGACAGCCTTGGATATCATCACTAGTCAGGTGCCACCGACCTTGATTTTTGAAGTCAGGGTTCTCACTAGTTTGGAACTCACCAAGCAGGCTTGATGCCTGCCAACGAGCGTCAGGGATCCTCCTGTTTCTGCCTGCCCAACGCTGGAATTATCAGCATATACCACCACACCCAGCATTTATGTGTGTTCTCGGATCAGACCTCCATGCTTGTGTGGTGAACACTTCACTGC